TTCCTTCTCCCTAAATTCCTTCACAATTAACAAAACTGTTCAACTGTAAGCATTCCACAAAAGCTTAATCAATAATAGTTGCAAGATGTTTCTATACATTGTACATTTATTTAAATGTCATTTTAGGTACTGCTTTGAAAACATCCTTATTTAGAGGACATTCAGTGGTAAAGAAAGCATGCTAAAGCACAAAATTATTACTACAAAATAAACCCAAAACTATCAATTTTTGCCAATTTGCATACTCTTGGAAACATATATCCAAAACAAAAACATTACTTACTTTTCAGTGATTTTACTGAAAAACCCTACGTAATAACAATTCACCTTTATTCTGATCCTTGTGCCAAAGACAATGTACTCTTCTTGGGTAACTATTCATATTCTGCAGTTATGCCAGTTCTCCAGGAGCCATCAACTCAGCTAAAGAAAATATATATATAAGTGTGCCTTTTTAAAAGAATCCAGTATACAAAGGTAAAAAAAAAAAAAAAAAGGAAATCATCCATAAAATGAAGATTAACCCCTTGATAATTTAAAAACCAGATTACCTTACTGAAAATACTTAAAATATGGTGCACTACACACACACACACACACACACACACACAAACACACACACACACCCTTTATCATCGTCATTAATAGAACTTCAGGAATATTACCTGCTGTGAAAAATGAGAAACCTGCACCTTAGTTAATTTGTATCTTTTTGGTTTATTCCTGCTACTTTTTAAAACAAAGAAGTCAGTGAGAAATAGTATAACCTCTGTTGATTTTAAAACATTGTTACATAATAATGTCTTAATCTCAATATACTACTTTTATCACATGTTGATACAAATTTTAAAAGGTGAGTAAATTTAGTGCTTTCACTTTTCCTTCAACATTTTTATGGGGTTTCTCGAATTCAGACTTTCCTAAGTCGAAACTTCCCCTGAACCCTTCATCATCATTCAACGCCTACCTGAATAATGTAACATGAACTTTAAACTCATTTGTTCCTTGAGTAAAACATCACTTATTGAGCTACTCCAGGTTGAAAGCACTGTGCCAGGGCTATAAATGTAAAGATATAGTCCATACCCTCATTAAGGGGCTCGGAGCCTTCTGTAACTTTTGTCGTTACATCATCATTCAAGCAAGAAATAAAAGCATAAGCTTTAACCTCATTCTCATCTATCAAAAACCCTGGGACCAGAAGTTGGTGCAAGGGCTATGTCACTGGACTCCCGTGTAGTCAATCGCAGTTTGAGTCCTGGACCCTGCGGCTTAAACTCACGAGACAAAGCTATCTCTAATGTCAGAACTCACATTTTTTAACCACTCATTCTCATCAATGAATTAGGGCAATCATTTTTCAGTCTCCGTTCTTCCAAGATTTTCCTACAAGGCCCTCTCTAATATGGTCCCTACCCATAACATCTTTGACAAATAATTTAACACTACAATATCTTCCTTCCTTTCTTTTAATTTACTATAGGGCATGTGTGATAGCCAAAGAGAGACAGAAAGAGAGAGGCAAAGTGAGAAATCACCCCCCGGGGGGAGTAGCCGTGCCACAATCCCTTCTCCAATCTCCTCTTAGGATTTCTGGCGCACACAGATGCCTGGTGTATTTTTCAAGCCTTCATATCCAGGACTCAAACTGTGAAGTTGGCCATGTGGGATCCAGCCACCTTAACCTTTGCACCATCTACTGGCCCTATAATTTTCTTTCTAAGGAAAGACTCTATCTCTTACCAACTAAAGTTAGGCATACATTTTCTCCTTAATTTTATCTAAAGTTAAGTGGGTAGGGGGAAGAGGGCATGATACACGCACACAGAATTTGTATACTCTTCTTGTATACTCGAACAAAATGCCAACTACTTAGAAAGAGCTAAATATGTGCTATTGATGCTAATTCCCTCCCAAACATTTTTAATAGCTGTCTAGAAAGTAAATTCAAGTATCTGTGTTTGGCATTCACACACTTCCTATTTTTGATTCGCTATTTTTCAACAGAAATTCTGCTCTGAAAACATAAAAATGATTAAATGTTAGTATTTCTTCTTCATCCACCAATAACTGACTAAAATATGAAATTCTGCTTTATCTATTTATGGAAACTTTATCCTCAATGGTCCCACAGTTTAACCTGTTGTTAAAATACATAATAAACTACTGCTCTGATTTTCAAGGGCTTACTTTCTTTAGAAAATCTATAAAACGGGACCAGTAGTTAGCATAATGGCTATATCACTGGACTCCCATGTAGTTGACTGCATTTCGAGTCCCCGACTCGGTTGCTTAGACTTACGCCAGGTGCATGTGCATGTGTGCCCAGGATCCCAAGAAGAGAATGAAGAAGGGATTGCAGTGTGGCCATCTCCCTGGGAGATGTTATCTCGCTTTCTGTCTCTCTGTCTTTCTGACAAGTGCACATGCCCTATAGCAAAAAACCTCTCCAAAAAACAACAACAACAACAAAAATCCACAAAACAAAAGTACAAAGATGAAATTTGTGTCTGAAAGTAGAGAGAACTAGACCTAGATGAAGTTTGTCTCCAATTCAAAGAGTCTAAAATCTGAAAGATTTTTATCATATAATAAGGAGTTACAGTAACCAAAGCTGGAAAATCCTTCGTTTTTCTCTTATGTGTCCTTTGTCTAGAGAATGAAAAGTGTTATGTGATAACAAGAATATCAGTAAGCTGGAACTTCCAAAAGACACATTGGTTCTCACAGCAAGTTCCAGTTTAGTTACTCATTTAACAAATCCTTGAGAAAAAAAAAAAATGAACTAATAACTATATTCCAAAAGGAGACAGACTTTAATCACACGAATAAATACTCAACTGCAAGTTCTAAAAAATATATATATAAAAAAAAGATACGGTGATATTTAAGACTTAAAACTTCAGGATAGAGAGTAGAGTGCATCAAGAGGAGGTTTCTCCGAGAAAATACAAGCTGAATTTTGAAGAATGAGTTGGGGGCGACTGTGATGCTACAACAATCTGGGCAAATTGAAGAGCATATGTAAATGGTCTGAATTGGAAAATAATTTGGCATGGTTAAGGAACTTAAAAGCAAAATGAATGGAGTTTAGTGATGGAGAGAAAGATGATGCAAGATGAAGCTAGTGAAGCAGACAAGAATCAGGTGCAGTCTTATGGATGGACCACAGTATAAAGTGTGGATTGTGAATGTTTTCCTAAATATAATAGGCATTAAACAATGAGAAATTCACTTAAGAGTTTTAATCACAGAAAAGACATGTTACTGCTGAATGGATTAATGCTGTGGTTTGTCTGGGTTTAGGAAAGAATGGAAAGGAGTAAAAAATGGAATAAATTAGGGCAACCTAGTAACAGTACTGAAGTTGTTCAGCTTACTTTAACAATTACAATTGCAGTTATTGTAAACTGCCCATTTACTGTGTGCCATGTGCTTACCCTGGTTACCTTATTTAATCCTTACAATAATCCAATAAAGTTAGAGCTCTTCCTATTCCCATTTTACAGATGAGAACACTTGGAGCCAAAGAGTTCAAGTCCAGATGACAAGACTTTGCCTTGAACAAGACAAGTTATAGTGAAGATGTACAGTAATAGATTCAAAACATCCATTGGAAACAGAATAGATAGAACTTGGAGAGGGTACAGATACACAGGAGAGAAGTTAAGAATGCCTTTCAAGTTTCTATACCATGTAACTGGATAAAGAAATATGCCATTTAATGAAATGGGACATTGGAAGAAGAATTTGGGTACGGAGAGAAAAACCAACACTTTAGTTTTAGACATGTTGTATATGAAATTCCTAAGGGAAAAATTATCAAGTTTAGATAAAGTTTACTAATAGTCAACAGGGTGGCTATTTATATATGGAGCTGAAAACAAAAGGAATAGGCTGGAAATAAAAATTCTGAAGTCATCAACATACAGGTGGAATTTAAAGCTTAGGGAGGAAATGAAAATAGAAAAATAGGAATTGGGACTGAACTCAAATACTCACTTTATTTCATCAAACATCTCTTACCAAGACAACTGAGTACTTTCAGGTCACTGAGTCTCTTAGGCCTCCATTTTTACCTTTCAGCAGAATGCAACACTATTCATAACTTCATCTCTTCCAAGATTCATCATCTTCTATTCAGTTATTAAATATCAAGAACCCCTAATGCTCCATCTAAGTCCCTTCTTTTCTAGCACTATACTCTTTAGGCAATTTCCTCCACATCCAGAGTTTAGTTACTATCAGTACTGCCGATAACATATACATTTATCTATATATTCAGCCCAGAGCTTTTCTCTGATCTCCAACCCAGTATATACAACTGCCTACTTGACATTACCTTTTAGATATCTCTTCTACTTAGAGACTTGTCAGGTATTGACACCCCCAAAAAAGGCGTTTACACTAAGCTGAAATTTTGGGGGGATTATTACAAAACCACTGTAGAACAACGCTTCAAAATATAGGACTTTTTTTTATCAGCTATTTCCTTTCATGGATAACTTTAAATTGGTAAACCTGACAACCTGATCTGCTGGAGATTGGGGGTGGGGGACGGGCAACCAAATGCACAACAAAAATATAGTTCATGCCTCTTAACCGGAGATGATCAGGAGGAAAAAGATGAGAATGGTCAGCAGAGTGAATGAGTATAGTATCGACGGCCTGATGTATATGCAGCAACGGAAGTCACCTGAAGAGACAGCAGGCCTTGTTAGGGGGCAAGCGGCCGGAGCCTGACGACAGCCCCAGAGAAAAAGGGCCAGTTTCGGGAAGCGGAGGGAGCGAGTGACGGTAAAAAACAGGTCAAAGAAGAAGAAAAGCCAGGGGTTAACCAAGTAGAGTACCTGTGTGGCTGAGGCACGTCGAGGGGCTAGGGGCGGGCTGAGCAGCAACCGGGCGAACTCCAGAAGAGTGAACGCCGAGTGGGCGGACCGCACAAGGGGAGAGCGGCAGGGGAAACGGCTCATTTAAGGAGCTATCCCAGCCCACCTTACCTGTGCCAGAAGGTCCGGAGCCCCCGGATAGGCCTGCCAGAACCACAAAGTCCGCGCGGAGAGGGAGGGCCCGGGTAAAGAAGGAATGGACACTCAGCTAGAAGGAGCGAGACCGCTCGCTACCCCCAGTCAGGGAGAGCGGCTGATGGCGGGAACTGTGACCACACGCAAACACGCACGCACGCACGCAAACTCGACGCGACCAGACCAGGAGGCTCTGCGTAAGCCTACAAGCCCCGCCTCCTACGCCATCGCCCCGCCCCAGCACCAAACGAAGCCTCGCCCAGGTAGCCCCGCCCCTGCTGTGACTGTAGTACGCATGCGCACTTCCCACTTTGCCCAATTTCGACCTCCCACCATTTCCTTCATACTCAGCCCAGCGGGGCATGCGCAATGCTCAACCTCCAGCCTGCTTAGCTTTTCCCGCCCTTCACTGGCCTCTGGAGGAGAGTCAGAGTTCACGCCCCTCTCTGGGGATACCTGCTAGATGCCGGAGAATGTGGGGACTAGTAGGTCGCGGACGTCCTTCCGGCCCTGAACCTTAAGAGGCAAAGGACATACCCTGGAACTGTTAACTAGGCCGAGGGCCAGGAGGCGGGAAGAGGTTCTGTGGGCGGGGTCAGAGGTGAGAGGTCAGAGGGTTGCGAAAGGGGCGGAGCGAGCGGGAGGCGGATGGCGGCTACAGCAGCTTCTCATCTTCGGCGGCAGAGGCGCTGAGGCTGGGACGCGGTTCGTTCGCGTCCGGCGGTGAAAGGAGAGCGGCGGCCGCTCCCAACATGCACAGTCTGGCTACGGCTGCGGTGAGTGGCGGAGCTGCCCGGCCTGCACCCGGAACCCTCCCTCAGCCCCGCGTTTCGGCCTCCTCTCCTAGCTCTCCCTGACCCCGGCCCCGAGTCCAGCTCCTGCCTCCTCCTCGAGGCCGGGGCCCCCTCCTCGCCGCTCCTTGGATGGAGTGGAGTCGGCCCCCACTTTCCTCGCCTGTCGCCTCTCACGGCCTTCCGCGCGGCACATCGTGTTCTTTTCCGGCTCCGGGGTCGGGGCCTGGGCCGGATCCTGGAGCGCCTCCCTCACGGCCCGAGCAGGCCATTCATTGATTCATTGCGCTGACCAACAGTTTCAGGGCGCCAGTTGTGTGCTGGGCGCCAGCAGGGTGGGGGGAATTCCACCGTCCCTCTGACGCGGCCGGTGCTGTTGAACTCACCGCCTAGGCACAGCGCAGCGGAAAGGAAATGGCTTCTAGCTCGAACCACTTGCTTTACATATGGAAAACCTGAGGCCTGGAGAAGTGCATAATTACTGCATCTGACTTATGCTTCCTCTATATTTAAAACTTTTCTCATACATCGCGTCTTACGAGCGTGATATTTTAACAAGAAAAACGGTATTTCACTTGTCTGAAGTCATCCTATGACTTCTCATTTCATTTAGATAAAAGTCTTGTCATCCCCTACAGGGCCTGTATGATGTGGTCATTCCCCACGTTTACAGCCTCATATGTCACTTGATCCTTAGGTTCCAGCTGCACTGCCCGGCTTTCAACTATTTCTCTATGTGCTTTTGCATTTCAGGGTACACTTTCTGCTCTCTGCCTGGAATACCCTTCTTACACTACCCACCCCCCACCCACCCCCACCCCGTTGCATGCACACACATAACCTTTAGTATGCATTCTTCTTCCCTCAGGGAAATCTACTTCAGAATGCGTTTACCTGAATATAATATTCAAAGTAGTTCTTTAACCCATAACTTTTCTCTATTACTCTTTATAGCACTGATCCCAGTGTACAATTATTCCTGTTTGTTGTCTGTCTCCTGTTGAGAGTAAGTTTTCCCAGTGCCAGGACAGTTCCTGGTACAAAGCAAGGGTTCAAATACTTCGTTGTAAGAAATATAGATGGGGGAGGGTGACCAGCCAGAGTATATAGCCATTATGGAAAAAAGAGATCATTTGATTAGAGTACACTGGTCTGGAGGCCAACATTTTGTGGAGCAACCCAAAATTGCCTCTACTTTAGATATTAAGAAGTGAAAATTTGGGACCAGCAGTTGGTGTAATGGCTATGTCGCTGGACTCCCATGTAGTCGACCATGGTTGGAGTCCCGCATCTGGTGGCTTAAACACAAGCCAGGTGCTTGTGCGTGCATGCCCAAGATTCTGAGAGAATGGACAAGGGATTGCAGAGTGGCCATCCCCCTCGCTTTCTGTCTCTCTGTCTCTTTCTAGCGAGTGCACATGCCCTATAGCAAAAAACCTCTCAGAAAGAAAAAGAGAAAATTTGAGCCTAGTGTGATTATGCTATTAAAAACCATTGCTTTGGGGGTTTGTATTCTGTCATCTTGTCATTTCTCTGCCTCCTGTCACCATGTTGCTAAGTGTATATAAGTATTCAAAGTGGAGAAGTATCTTTCTCTAAATTAGGTGATTTAAATTTCTTAGGATGCTTAATACATCCTTTGAACAATCAAAGTTGTGGTACATTACTTGTAGTAAAGACTTAGTACATGTTCTTTGATTACATTTATAAGATCTTATATTAATTAAAAAATTTGAACTTTAGGGCCCAGCAGGCAATATGGTGGACTCCCACATGACTGGCTGCACTTCAAGTCTCGAAACTGGCACTTGCTTTCTCACTTTCTCTCTCTCACTTGCTCACTCTCGCAGTCCCTCTCTGGTCAAACTAAATAAATAAATAAAGTTAAATACAATAATTGTTTTTTTTTAAAGTTTGAACTTTAAGATGTACTTTCACATATTATGCTGTTGGGACCACTTGGCAGCTCTGATAAGTTGTTTTGTACTGCTCATTCACCAGCATGTTTGATTAATAAGGAGACTGAAAATATGAAAAGTTGAGCCATCTCTTAAACCTTCATACCTTCCATTAGACCAAACTGCCTGTATTATCCCGATTTAGGCAATAGAAGAGATTGATACATTCATCAGTGTCCATAATAATCTAAGCTGCATGAAAAGAGTCTTATTTTTTGCATAATAATGTAATTCATATCTGTGTATGCCTTTCTGTCTTTTTATGAAACAGCAAATAAATAATCTCTTCAGCTAGGGATGTAGAGAGCACTGTCAAAGGTGGGGCCAGCAGGTGGCGTGGTGGTTAGGATGCTGGAATTCCCACATGGCTGACCATGGTTCGAGTCTCAGACCTGGTGGCTTGCTTTCTCTCTTTCCCCCTCTCTCTCTTCCTCTGGCAAAACTCATGTGAAAAAATAATAAATAAAATAATTCTTAAAAAAAAATCACTGGAATTTAAAAAATAAAAAAAAAGAAAGCCCTATCAAAGGAAAGTGATCAATGCAGGATGTTATTCATGAAAGGGAGAGATTGAGGTAGTTTGGGTGGTACCTCAAATTTGACATTTAAAATTTTTTATTATTTTTTAATTTGCTATCAGATACGTATACTCATTAGAGACAGAGAGAGGGAAAGTGAGAGAGCAAGCCACCATATCTGGAACTCAAAACAGTGGTCAGCAATGTGGGAGTCCAGTCCCTTAACCACCACGCCACCTGCTGGCCCTCAAATTTGACTCTTTATTAGCTTCTTATGCTAAAAGTTGTGGTATTGTAGGTTTTTATAATTATTTACAGAGTATAGCTTAATATCTTTATAATTGCCATCATAAAATATAAATATCACATAGAATTGTCCTTTTTTTTTTTCTTAAGTTGTCAGAGGATGTAAGCATTCACCAAAGAAAGAAGGAAGGAAAGCACCCCCCACCCCACCGTGGGGTGTGGTCACATTGCAATCCTTTCTCCATTTCTTTATCCTATCATGATTTTGCCCGTGCATGTACATATACCCAGTGTAACTTACACCCAGTTTATGTCTCAGGCTACTGGAGACCAGGATTCAAACCTCAGCTGGCCCTGTGGCATATGTCTCCTTTAACCACTAGGCTATGGGCAGACCCCACATAGAATTATTCTAAAGATTAAATAAGAATAACTAGGTACTCGGTGGTTGGCTTGATTCACTAAATTACTTCCACCCTTCAGCTTTAGAACTCTTCATTCTTGCCTCACTAACAGATTATTTTGTTATGGACCTTGGAAGTTGCTTCAAATGAATAGAACTGCAAATTTTCACATGCCATGAATTTTTTTGTAATGGATGTTATACTAGTAAAACAGCCAAAGGTTAGTCTTCATGAGAGATCCATTAGATTTTTTTTTTAATTCAACACTTATTTCCACTAGCAATTCTCACAGTCCTAAACTATCTTTCTCTCACTTTACTACCAATCAGCAGCATCGTTATTCATTTTATAATTTTTTGTTGAAGCTGTGATGGACTCCCAGACACCCTCCTCTTTGGCAAGTACGACAGAGTGCACTCTAAAGGACTAATTCATTGTCTCCTCCCAAGTCTCACATTGAAGCTTTAGGCAAATTGCCCAAGTTCTCTGTTCATTTCCATTTTAAAAAGTTATTTTGTAAAAAGAAAAACTTTATAGCAAAGTTATAAGACTACTTAAGCCAATTTAATATTTTCAGCACTACTTAGAAATTACATTTTCTTGGGAACCAGCAGTTAGTGTAATGGCTATGTTGCTGGACTCCCACATAGTCGACCGTGGTTCGAGTCCCCGTGTCTCCAACTCACGCCAGGCGCGTGTGCGAGCGTGCCCAAGATCCAGAGAGGAGAATGGAGGAGAAGGGATTGCGGCGTGACCATCCCCCCTGGGGGGTAATTTCTCGCTTTCTGTCTCTATGTGTCTGTCTGGCGAGCACACGCGCCCTATAGCAAAAACCTGTCAAAAAAAAAAAACAAACAAACAAAAAAAAAAAGAAATTACATTTTCTTGAAATATTTTCATGTTTACACTGAAAGCCATGTAGCCTCCAGACTTGGGGAGGGGTGATCTGTATTTCTTTCTTTTTTTTTTTCTTTTTTGCCAGAGGGTGCATATACTTGCCAGAGGGACAGAGACTGAGAAAGCACCTTTCATGGGGAATAGTCCTGCCACAATCCCTTCTCCATTTCTTCACCCTGCTGAGATTTTTGAACACATATACATGTGCAAGCACCTGAAAGTGTTTTTCATACCACTGATTCAATACTGAAACTACGGGGGGTGGTCATGTAGGATCCAGCTGCCTTAACTACCAGAACTGAGGGTTGGCCCAGTGACCTATATTTCCTTTTTTTTTCTTTTAGGAAAAAAATTTGAAAAATTTAATCTTTTTAAAAATTTAAATCTTTTTAAGAAGAGTGGTGAGAAGAATGAAGTTTTCTTCTTAAAAGAATTATTTTTTTAATAATTATTTATTTAATTTTATTTATTCATCCATTTATTTTAATTTGACCAGAGAGAGACAGAGAGAGAGAGGGGAAGTGAGAAAGCAAGCCACCAGGTCCAGGACTTGAACCATAGTGAGCCATGTGGGAGTGTCCAGCACCTTAACTACCACGCCACCTGCTGGTCCCAAAAGAATTATTTATTTAATTTCATATATTATTTTAATTCACCAGAGAAGGGGGGGTGGTGAGAAAGCAAGCTCCAGATCCAGAACTCAAACCATGGTTGGCCATGTTGGAGCTAAGTTCCTTAACCACCATGCCACTCGCTGGCCCCCAGGAATCTATATTTCAGTCTAATCCTATTCTTCATTCACTATCACATTTTCATTGGTAAGAAACAGATATTTTGTCTATTTTGTGATTAAGGGAACTACCAGATTCCAGCAGGTGGCATGGTAGTTGTGGCACTGTACTTCCACATGACTGACCGTGCGTGGTTCAAGTCCCAGAACTGGCAGCTTGCTTTCTCACTCT